GTCGCCGATTCGCCCGTCGACGGTATAGCACCCGCAAGCTTCTGGGCAGCCGCGTTCTTGAGCGCCGCAAGCTCATCTACTATTCCCTTTTTCTCCATGTTGGCTGCTACCAGTGCAATTAGGGCCGCGCCAACACCGCTGCCGTCCCTGGCAATCCCAATGCGGATCCGTTCCGCACCCTCAGCGCCGATGCCCTCGATACTCCTGAAGGCTTCGTGAATCATATCTCGGAATTTGGGATAGTGCTCCACAAGACTACCATCTGCTCCGATGTCCAGAGGTTCGTCGCTGGAGTTCTTGAGCTTACCGCTCTGGATGACAATGCCGGCTAGGACCACAGCTGACAGCCTTGCAGCCCGGCGACCAACAGCATAAGAGACATCTTTGAAGGCCTGCGCCTCTTCGATTGAAGCAGAACGTATCTGGAGTTGGGAATCAAGCTCCTTCCGTAGATTCGAAAGGTCGGCCGTAGAATCAGCTACGGCAATTGACATTAATGAGCTGTCAAGGCCCCATTGCTTGAATAAGCCTGAATCGGCGCCGATTCGCGTATTCCGGTCGCCTGTGTTTGTGTTGGCATCCTTGAATAGAGATATGGTAGGATTCTCGTATAGGTCAATAATAACTAGGCGGACGATCTCTCCCAAGAACATTCCGGATACTCTCTTTTCGAAGATTTGTATACCAGGATTGACACTATCCCGGTCCAATTTCGCATCATACGGAGTATTAGGTAATACGTTGAGCTGGTTATCGAACGATCCCCATTCGGTGTTGATTACCATCTCGCCAGTCGACTTGTCATAGTCCCCATCCACCGACTTTTGGAGATTTGTGATCTTCTCGACGTAGGCACCGTTTGTTCCGGTTCCGAATATAGCTCCGATGAGCGTACCAGTCTTTCCAGGTGACGTGTACGAACGTGCCATTAGGGTGCCAACAGTGTCATTTACCAAGGCTGCTACCTTGACAGGAAGATGGAGTAGATCGATCTCCTCTTGTAACAAAGCGCAGACATCCCTACCAACTGCATCAGGGATGTCAAACCCTTTAGTCCATCTTATGAGGGAGCCCTTGTTGATTCCAAACTGTTGAACTGGAAAGCTAAAGGTGAAACCAAGCTGGAAGATATTTTCCTCTTCGTATCCTTCAGCTACCTTCGAATTCTTCCGTCGACGAACATGTGCTTCGAAGTGCTCTTCGTGATGCGTTCTCAAGAAAAGCTCGATCTGTTTAGCTAAGAAGCCAAATAGTTCTTTGGATGTTTTGGCGACCATCAGCTCTCTTGGGATAGCGACTTTGCTGTATGTAAGGTCGAAGGTAGTGTCGCCATTGAGATGGACTGAACAAACGCGGAAATTGGTGCCCCCTAGATCCACAGCCATATACAATCCCTGCAGAACTGTCAGTATCGGATATATATAGAATAGAGTATCGGCAAGAACCTTTTCAGTGCCATTTGGCACGCCGGTAACATATGTCGGAATTTGACTCAAACTGGTACCGTCTTTCCGTAGCCCCTCGTCTATCATAAAATTAATATGCAACTCGCGTAGATCGTTAGATGGCGTCATTGATCGTACTCATCTGGCGCAGAAACTCCTGTACCCCCTTGTTCACATCGTCGTCCGTGTAATCGAACTGCGCAACGACGCGCTTTGTCTCTTCTACCAGAGAATTCGTCATGGCGGGCGCTGGAGAGATTGGCGGCGAGGTCGCAAAGGGATATGGACTTTCACAGACAGCACCTTCAATAATAGCGGCCGGGGGTGAGAATGACGACCTCTGAAAAGGATGCGACGTGAATATATGAAGATATTGGACTTTGATATCTGCGAGAAAGAGTTGGGTAACCTGGTTTGGAGGGGCAGTCAGCACGAGCAGAATACATTTGCGCCGAGTAACGATGTCATGCATACGACCCAAGCTGCGTACTGCGGGGGGGCCAGGCTAGAGCCCTAGCAAGAGTCTAGGCGGGAAATAAACGGCTCAAACGGCCCTCGTGAATAAGTACTTACCAGGACAACAGCCAGAAAGACTACGGAGAACAAGTATATTAAAGTGGGAGCAGGCTGTTGGATAACTGCATCTTTTGAAGACTGTCTCACTTCTTTTACCGAGCGCTCGTCGGTCGTTAAAGAGCGAGACGAACGTAGGGGACTATGAACTTGATCATCATTATCAGCTCTGGCGCCGAAGCGCCAGGCTCTCATAGGTTCTGACCAGGTATTGGGAGCCACGGCGATTTTCGCGGGGTTATTAGCGGGGTTCGCGCTCTGTGCCTTACCGGCCTTCTATAATTCGATGAGGGGAGGCTTCCAAGAGCCGCCAGCACCCGCGATGAACCCCGGTAGACGGACCGAGAATGACGGTTAGTGCCAGGGGAAAGATAACAAGACACGGGCACTGCAGTGATTAAAGGCCGCAAATTTGATAGTGTAAGGCTCAATATGGTCCACCAAAGAGCTAGATGCGGCTGCTACTCTGCTAGTGACTGTTATGAGGTCATAGACGATCCACCTCGGAGTGGACTGGCGAGACTGGCCTTGATAGATCGGAATGAACTAAAGCTGAATTCTGGCTTGAGGTCCTGTTGTATGCACAACACGGGATCAGGGTGCTGGATAGGTCGGGTAGGGGGTTTAAGACAGGGGCAGGGGTAGATGAGAGAACAGAGCTCGGCTACGGCATCCAATTGGTAGCGGGTGAGGTGATGCTGAAGCTTCCTGTGAGACGGGAGCTTTTCGTCTGGTGGTTCGACCTTCGTCAGGAGACGGGCGAATCCGTAGATTCGGGTCACCAGTATTTCAACGCTTACTTACTTGACTGAAAAGAATGTGACCCGCTTATCTGACTCGTAGGAGTAATTTGGTACGGATCGGGTGTTTAAACAAACTAGTTAAAAGATGTGACATATAGGAATAAGTAGCACGATAGCAAGACGAATTATGTGCTTTGAGGTGAGGAGGGAGAGGCGGTCACACAGATTCAGTTGGTCGGGAAGTAGATAGGTCATATGAGAGACGGCAGGAAGTACTTAACCTTGTAGAGGTAGAAGGAAGAAGTGGAGACTATATGATACGTGAGGTAGTGATGTATACTAGAACACTACCTAAACTCGAAGAAGCCAGGTGCGAAGAACTTGCTACTTAAGTAATTCTCAAACACTTCAAAGCGACCACCAAGTCTACAGGTACCTATTAGGTAGTCGGCTCAATGTTGTAATCATTTCATATTTTACAATTTCTAACAAATGTCATTTCTATGCCAGGTTAGAATACAAAGCTACCGCGAGTTTTACAATTCGTTGGCTTTTGTTTTCCTATTGAAAGTCTTACTTTTAGAGTCACACTTCTCTTCGTATACCTCACAAAACCTTCAATTCGTAGCGCACCCTAAAGTCCGTACACTATTTCGCGACAATTACAGCTCCGAGTCGAGCAATGGTGACATGGTCAAGCGAGGGTGATCTGAATGAATTGCCCCTTCCAAGTCTACCTACATGAAACAGAACTAATCACTTCACGTACTGTATTGAGGCTTATCCTTTCTTGGGAGTATGCTTCTGGTTGATGCAGGGCGCGGCATTGAGGATCCCATCACAACACTGCCAAACGAACCCATGCGGCCACTCTTCACGTCGCCAATCCGTATGAACGTCAATGCTTCCGATGTCATACTGAACATCATCATCGTCCGGGAAAACATCTGGGTCTATCTCGAGCAGGCCTAGAAACATGGCAGCGTAAGTATTAGATAGAAGAAGCTAAGGCTTAGCAGCTGACCTGGGTGCAAACAACACGCTGTATCGTGGTTCAGGGTCACGTCGTATGTCTTTTTGCAGGTCTCGCATTTCTCGAACCTCGATATTTGCGCGGTTTGGACTTTCTTCTGCTTCTTATTCTTCTGATTCTGTTTTTGAGTGTCGTCGTCGGACGAGTCGGATAGTTCTATAATGTCACGCTTCCGCGACACGAGCATCCGGTCCATTGCCTCCTTACGGCATGCTTCTGAGGCTTGGCACATAGACTTCAGAATCGTACGTAGAGTGTGCTCGTCCGCATTGTTAATGGCGCGTGCAAGAGGCGCATCTTGGTTGGTTTCTGTTGCCATGATTAAACTGTTCGTAAGTGATGCTACGGATACTTTGCAGACTCAGACGCGTCGGGAAAATGCAGATCAATGCTACGTACTGAATGACCCCTGTTCGCGTTATCAGCAACACCAAAGGCCCAAGCAACTTAGCATACTATCCAGAGCATCCTTCGTTGCCCATCAAAGTTTTCTTCATATAAACGAAAATATCGACTAGCAGTCCTTTGCCATAGTTGAACCATAGTCGTAAAAGGGGGATGTCCAGTACAGATGATGAAATGCACTTGGCGGGACATTCGAATTTTTCGAATAACACATAGGATCGATAACGATTTCTGGGTGGCGACTATTGTAAGGCAAGGCTGCTGGACAACCCTATGTGTAGGTGTCGAATGAGAGCTATAGGAATTGTAGATGCAGGAAGTGTAGAAATTTTCACTACATCGCAGACCAAGAGAATAGGGATGAACCGACTTTCACCACCTCTCTCGTTCTTTAAACTTTTTGATACCGAATTCAACCAGGTCTACCTATTGGACGCACTGTGGTATATAGCATTACTCTCATATGATGCAGGGCCTAATCCCGCGAGCCTAAGTATCAGTCGGAAACACCAGTCTTATTAGGTTGCCAGCGAAATATACAATTCGAAGTAGACATACATTCAAAAGACATATAATATTATTTATTATATAAGTATCCGGTTTATCTAAACTAAGATCGGACCACTACCTGCAGCCACATATCTATGTCGGAGGAAGAACAAAACGATGTCAAAAGTAATCATACAGGACGAATGAGATGAAAATATTATATAAAAACATCATCAAAAGTGAGAGGAAGAAAAGTGAAAAGAAAAAAATTGGGTTGCTGCTCCCAGTTGATCTGAGAGGCATCAGGAATTGAGCCCGATGCGGGGGTCGAACCTAGCACTAGGGTTAGTCACAAATCCACCGACGATAATTTTTTTCTTCAATATTTGCTTACCCGCAACCTTGAGATTAAGAGTCTCACGCTCTACCGATTGAGCTAACCGGGCGTCGATGTGGGTTCTTCGTCGATAATTTTGCTCATTAATAGGAGATCTGCCAACCGGGCGGCTTGTATGTGACATTACACCGCAGCTCTATCAGTGTAACCTGAGCTGTCTTTCTTTTCCCTTCTGCGGGCTCAATATGTATACTTGGAATATCCTTGCTCTCTTGTACTACGTCCGATATATACACGCCACACCTCGTGATCGAATTTACGGCCCAGATCACCCTCGTGCAATCGAACACGTCTACTGTAAGCATTGCTGCGGGCTACGTCGTTATAACCAAGAGATGGTCCCTTAAACTTCTAAGGTATCTGAAACCTTATTGTTGTGCGTCGATCTGTGGTGTACGTCTATGTCTTTAGTCTACGAATAAGCTCCTGGCTGACTACTAAGCCTGTCGATTCACATATGAGACTCTATCCACCTATATACTAAATTGTCAGACTAGCAATTCACAACATACAACTTAGAATAAATTAATTACTTGTAGAAATTTGGATACTCAGTACTCGTGGTAGCTATAAGAACGAAGCCGTTTGCTGATAATAATGGAATGAAGTAGTCGTCTTGAGCTATTCGGGATATCGAACTTAAACACATATACTATGTATTAGCCAGTACTCATCTTCTGATAATATCCGTACTCAGACCTAAAATTCCTCAACTGCCTAAACATTTATTACTCTTGATGAATGTAATATCGGTGTCTGCAACAAGGGCTAGCGAACTAGAGCAAGGGATAGTATTCGACACTGCAATGACCTACCTAGGCGTCTAAGACGCTATACAATTTAAGTCCTCCCTTCCGGCCTAGGCAGTGAGGTAAGTTAAAATATATGAATAACTTCGCTCTTGCTAGCCTTTTCAAGTCCGTATCGCTATTATCATGTTTGCTCGATCCTTTGATCCTACGGAAAAACATGATAATAGCGAACGCGATAACAAGAATAGGTATGGGTAGTACGAAAAGCCGCCTCGCAGATTAATTACATGATGTCGCGACCTATACTCTGGTATACGGGTAGTTGTAATACCAATACCCAGGGGCTAGTTCGGGCGGCAATGTTTTCTTAAATCCCCTATATCTAGCTGCTAAACTCAGCGGCATGAAGAATGCCGCTGTTTGAGTTCAGCTTAACCTAATAGATACCAAGTGTAAGATTGGATATACCAGCTCAAGATAAAGTTCCCTAGTCTCTGATAATAGTTTCACACGGCTTACAGCACTTCTATTATGTTCTTAGCGCAGCTTCTCCAAAATTCGTGCCAAGAAGCAGTGTCATTGTCCTTTCAGAAAGTACGATAGTTGTACCGGAAACCTTGTTTCTGAAGACCAAATGCATCTAGGCTCTAATGTTTCAACTAAAGCGAACCAGTAAGTCTCTTTCACCCGAATTTGAACCTAGAGGCTCGCTCACCCGAGGCGGCTTCCTGCTAGAGATAGCGCTGGATTTTCTTATCAAAAGCCTGGCGGTGAGGGGCATAGAACGACGTTGTTCATTAGAATTGGACCGTGTTAGAAGCCGGGCCGCCTTTCGTTAAGGGAAAGCAACTTCTCTTCGGTATACATCTAAGCTGTACATTTTCTGTCTTAAAGACATTAAACGACAGCTTGATTATCAAACATGGGAACTCTAGCCGGAATATGTCTTGGACTTAATCGAATAGTTCATTGGGATGTCAGAATAATGAGATGTTTATCAGATCCGTCTCCCTCCGCCAACCCGCTAGCTACCAGGTCCTTATGCACTCATAATCGAGCAGCAAGGTATCAGCGAGTAAAGTCGCCACATATGGTGAGTCTAAGATTGAAGCTCAAGTCCATGTATCTACAAAGGAAGAAGGGCAGATGCTTGAGCGCCCCCATACCTAACCCTTGAAAGGATAAATTAGGAGACCAGCTAGGCATTAAGGAGCGGAACTTGTGGAAGCGAGGGGGAAACATCAGAGCAGCCTGGTACTGATGTTTGGAAGAACCTTGGTAGGCTAGCAAGCTGGTCTATCAACCGAATCATCATCATGTCCCTTTCCTTTGATATTTAGAACACACAGATGAGTACACGATATGCTAAGAAGATGTGCCTTTGGGCGCCTGTACCTAGTTCAATATTCACGCCATCATGAAGCTTTTGCAATATATAATCACAATTGTTGTGCCTTATGAATAGGAGCTTATCCGATTTGCCGCAGAGCAAGGGGATTGGTCAATGGGTGTGTCCCTGGCAATCAATGAATTGGAGACCTTAGGATTCAAGCTATACGAGTACGCCTCCGGGCCGCTCATCAATGTACTGATACTATTTTTAAGCTTAACTCAGTTTTACTCATTATATCTACTGCGACAAGACAGCGGGATATCCGATGCATTCCAACTGAATCGTCCAACCCAATTGGATGTACGAGACTTCTCACACCCCTCGAGGTTATAGCGTCGTAACGTATAAGACAGCACATATTCGTAGCATTTCAACGACAAAAAGCAAAGCTTCCTGGATCAAGGGATGGCGACATCCAGCACTTGAAGAAGTCATTACCACAAGAGCTTAGCGATACAAGTGACCGAGAAATGTAGAGAAGCTCACAGTTCATATCGCTACATCGATCGCGGTAGTTGGGTGACTATTGGTCACTAAGCTCGAGGGGAGCGAGTTTACTCAGGAGAAGCTATATGAGGATACATAATGCAAGAGCTTCATATATAGATTGCCGCCGGGTAGGGCTTATGGATTGAGGAAGGCAAAGGAGTTCTACATAACATGTGCAAATCATCGATACATGTTTTCTCGAAGAGATGAATACTTGAAAGATACCTAATCTGGTATGCATGTCGTCCCGCGAATGTCCGAAGATGGTAATTATCATCCCATTCCTAGTCAGTTCTGGCGAGCATCGCGGAAGTTGGTGTTGTGGTGTTGCAGCAGGCTGCAGAAGACCTCACCTGAGATCCAACCACAATGGGTAGCAGCAGAAGGGTTCAATGCATGTGGTTGGAACCTGCAAGCCGCGGATCGGATACGACGTCGAGACGGGAACGCCGACTGGATGATTTCTCCAGGCACATCCGTCATCGCTTCTTTGGGAACACCCCGTAAGCAGGGCGGCGTTTGTGGTGCGTTCGAAGCACGAAGCATGAAACTCGGCCGGTCTTGGCTATGAAACATGCTGTCTACCATTTGACTGTGAAGCGGTGACACAAGAGACGTACAATATGCAGGTTGTCAGCTTTACGAGAAAAACAAACAGCCTTATATAACCATTCGCATTGAGATTCCGTTCTTTTTCGTAGACTTTGACGTCGAAAATCATGGCCCCTTCGTAGCCCTTTCGAAGTTGTAGCTGAACCCCGGATTCTTACAGCTCCGTGCGGCTGTCGAACGTTCCGTCAGCTCCTCGGCGGTCAACAGCCCCCAAACCGATCTGGTCTAGACACTGTCGAACGGCCAAAGACGATCTGACTGGTTGGGGGCCGTCAAGTGTTCGGTCCCTGACACGCAGGACAGCCCTACTCTGAAGGGCGCTGAGTGGTTTTCTGTTTCCAGAGATATAGTTAGACTTTCACTTTAGATCCGCTTGTTTAGCGTTTTAGCTCAATCGAATAAGCTTAATACCGACATCGTGTTCCCTCGCTCTATTTGCCTTTCTTTGGCGTTTCTACCGAGTACAGATTGTAGCTAGTTTAGTTAGCTTAGCTGCCTTTACCGGGAACAGGCCGGCAGTGCAAGTAGTGTAAAAAGCTGCCTGACCTGTGAATGAATGTGCATTGGCGCATGGACTTTTCTCCTAATGGGGGCTGAGCTTAGCTGAGCCTCATGTTCCACCCACAGGTAACAGATAATCACTTAAGGTAGGGCGCTTCTTCCAAAACTGAGTAATTTTGGTGGGTATCTTCACAACACATTGTAGGTAAATACCTAGTTACTAACCGTCAAGATTGCATTTAACGTTTGATCGCGTTTAAATTCATTAAATTTATTTAATTTGTCTTTGTCCTGTAGTTAGCTAGCTCCCTATGCCCGAAGATTGTTGCTTACCTCAGTACAGAACTGTAGGCGGCTACATGGCGGGGTTATAATGATGAGGGCTCCATCAAGATTGAAAGCGGTGAAGGCCTGTCATGCAGTTCAGTGGGCGAATTACGGTGGTGCCCACACCGATGGTTTCACTTCTTAGTTTGTCGTTAGTTTGCCAGTGGTGACCGGTAACATAGCTCACATATTCCAAGAACCCCTTAGGTGCTGGAAAGTATTCAGAAAGATACAGTTAAAACAAATGTCTATGGAGTATTGCAATTGGGTTTATATGAACAATCGGGCTACTTTCGTACCTCCTCTTAGTAGTCCGTCTATCTAATCGCTACCGTTAATGTTAGGGTTCTGTGTCTTTTTTCATGAAGCCAATGAACTAACACGGGTGTGCCTCACCCATGAGTAGAACGATCTATATACAGAATCACACGTGGCATCCCAGCCTCCAAGATAAATCATCTGGCTACCGCTACGTGCTTATCTTAAACAGGTAACTAAGTTTCTCTCCTTCGTTGACGGCAAGACTCTAACGGGTTTGATTTATTTCCGGGACTCCAATTCCAAAAATGATGCGGAGTCCAAGCCGTTCTTCACACTAGCATCGCGTGTGAGCGGCTCGCAATTTTATCATGACCGGACGAAGGAATACTTTGACGTTGCCCATTAGCCATCGGCTGGTACTTTGCTCTCCATAGCGGAGCTGCTGATGCTGCACGGCAACAAGCAGGAACACGCCATATTAGGTACCTACTCCACCCCGTCATCATGGTGTGGCCAGGCTCAAGCCCTTATCATACGTTAAAGCACTTGTCAGAACTATTCTAGATTACAATAGGCTCAGTTTTCTGATTCTGCTCACTAGAAATATTTACATAACTAGGTTGCAAATACGTGGCAATTGTAAAGCTAAGTAGGTGAGTTACAATCCCCGCAGAACTCGAGATAGAATAGCGTAGGACTTTGACTCCAACTACC